AAGGAAGGAAGGAAGGAAGGAAGGAAGGAAGGAAGGAAGGAAGGAAGAGAGAAAGAGAGAAAGAGAGAAAGAAAAAAGAAAGAAAGTAGTTGGGAATGCCCATGAGATGGGCCCATCTTTTTTGCTAAGGGTGTGCAGGAGGGTGTAAGGATCATGAAATAGGTTTGGATCACCGGTAAACCACATGTTGCCCCCTTCATTAGAAGATGTTCTTGGCAGTTCAAGGCCGTTGTCTACATCTCCAACAATACCAGTTATTTTTCTCTGGCTCTTCCCCCTCCTCCTCCAGCCTGCCTGCCTGCCTACCCTTGAGCGTTCCACCTCCGAAGTTGTTGCTGCTTAATTGACGATGATCTTTCAAGCAAGGGGTCGTGAACACTGCCTATTAGCCCTCTTGGCCCCAGCCGGGAGCACCAGCGGAGGGGAAAGACGCTCAGCATCTCCCATCACAGGGGCATATGTGTCCGCGGCTGGTGGGGAAGGGAAGGCTCCCTCGGGCCATTTGGGGAGGAGGAGAGGGTGCCTCTGTGTGTGTGTATTGTCTGTGTGCATGCAGATGGGGGAAATTCACCAATCTTGATTACCGATAAAGAGAGGCAAGCAGAAGGATGGGTGTCTGAGCGCTATTCTGTTGTGGCGCAGAAGTCAATCACTTAACACCAAACAGTTCATTAGCAAAGCAGGAGAAACAAAAGCTGTCAATGAACCCAACCCGTGCACAATTCCACGATGACGGTGCCAGTGATCTGTGACAGAAATGACTCACAGAGCGAGGGATGTGTAACAGGAAAGTATTCCACCCGTGTTGCGTCTGCTGCTCTTTGTCTTCTAACATCCTGTCCCTCCGTCTACAGAGGAACCCAAAAAGTTGTCCGATGCCAAGTCAATCCCTTTGACCTTATAAGGTCTGCTCTGACCGGCAGCATCTCTCTATTGCTGAAGGCATGATGATTTCATAGGTTACCTGGAGATCCCACGAAAGTATGCATTCTGCCACAGACCAACACCCCTCTCCCCATATAACTTCCTTCTGATCCCCTTTCCAGTTGTCAACCAGACTTGACCCTGTTAAGTAAGAGTCATTGGGTTCACCTTTTCAAGTGAGGGTACTGCCTGCCTGATCCAAGCTACATTCTGGATCAGAACGGCTACCAATTGGATCCGAATGCAGGCAACATGCAGGAATCCACATGCGTCCAGCATTGTAACATGGCCTGCGAAACAAAACAATAGCAAGAAGGGCGTGCATTTTGAAAATATGCATGGGGAAGGGTCATATGTTTGGAAAACATGCACTGATAACGCTTCAGTCAGTGGGGGACAAGGTATGCCGGAATTCAGACATTTGAAAAATGCATTAGGAAAGTGTGCTTAGTTTTGGGAAAATTTTGCGGGAAATAGTACAATTTCTATGCCGCATGGGGAGAAATTGCGCAGTCCCATGCCAAAGTGAGAGGGAGTAATGCTAGCAGTGGCAAATAAAACCAATCATAGGGCAGCGCACAGGTTACAACCCATCTGAAGGAAGACTGCACCATGGTAGAAGGGCCCAATCCACCGGCTGAAGACCAGGAACCCAAGGTCAAGATTTACCCAGGGAGAACGACTCGCTATTTCATAGGAATGGTGAAGTTGCTTGTTCTTCTGTTCATAGCTGTGATATTTTTGGAAGCTAGTGTTTGTGATCGCTCAGTTGCTTAGGTCTCTGGCTGCAGAGCCAGAGAGGTGGGGAGTTCGATTCCCCTACTGGGCCTCCTTGAGAGGGGCTGGACTTGATGATCTACAGGGTCCCTTCTAGCTCTGCAGTTCAGAGGTTAAGGGTTGTTGTTACCCCATTTTTTCCCCACTTGCATTGGCTCCCTATCAGTTTCTGTGCTCAATTCAAGGTGCTGGCTATGACCTTCAAACCTCTTAATGGTTTAGGACCTCGGCACTTGTCAAACATCTCTCCCCCTCAAAAAAATCTACCCGTTTCACATGTTCCTTCCAGTCCACGGTGTTAAAGGTAGCCATGCCGAGGGAGGCTAGAAAGGTGATAATGAGGGACAGGGCTTTCTCGGTGGTGGCCCCCATTCTGTGGAATAAACTGCCAATCAAGGTGCACCAGTCTCCATCCCTCCCAATATTTTGGAAATTACTAACAGAACAATTCTATCATTACAATTATAGAATTATTATGTCTAGAATTCTAAAGGTAGCCTTTAAGAACATATTCCCGAATGCTGATGATTTTTAATTTTGAAATTTAGGTTCCCTTTGTATTTTAACCATGTTTGAGTCATTTATCTTGCCATGTTGATTATGTTGTTATGCTAGCAGAGTTGAGGCAAAGTTGGGTGGCCCATGTTTTACCCCGAACACCACACATCAGTGTGTATTCACTAACCAGGTAGTATTTAAATTAAACAAAGAAATAAAAATCAATGAGTGGATGGATGGATGGATGGATGGATGGATGGATGGATGGATGGATGGATGGATGGATGGATGGGGATGGATGGATGGATGGATGGATGGATGGATGGATGGATTAAACTTTAATTGGGTTTTTTCTCTTATAGGTCATAAATGCCATTGAGCAAGATTACCGGTTGCCCCCACCCATGGACTGTCCCAGCGCCCTCCACCAGCTCATGTTGGACTGTTGGCAGAAGGACCGCAACCACAGGCCCAAATTTGGCCAGATCGTCAACACCTTAGACAAGATGATTCGAAACCCAAACAGCCTGAAAGCCATGGCACCCCTCTCTTCAGGGTAGGACAGAGGACAGGGTCTGGAAATGATGTCACATCTCCAAGGGTCTACCTTCCCCTTTTAGCTTGGCTGGGTTTTCCACTGCTCACAGCACCCCCCTTTCCTCCTCTTTACCCCTCATTTTCTGTGAAGGTCATAAGCCAGCTATTGGATGAGTCCCATAATTGGTACAACATCACGTTGCTGAGCATTGGTTGAGAATCAGGAAGGTACACCATGGTGGAGAAACCTGGCCCTGATAAAAGAAGTAGACCTGGGATCTCTGTTATTTATTGATGCTGCACCACATATGTAGCACATGGTTCTAAGTCCAGATGCTAGCCCTGGTTAGTGTAGACCCAATACATCAACATTTGTATAGTAAATTATAATTTTGGTCAGAGACGGGCAGCCTCCAGAAGTCCGGGGGGGAGCATACATATTCATCTGTAGACTTTAAAGAAGGATGAAGGATAAGAGGATTCTGCAGCACCCCTAGCTGGGTTAGGTGGCACCCCAGGGTACCACAGTTCACAGTTTGAGAAACACTGGCATAAGAGTGTGTCGTTTGGGACAATAGAATTGACGGAGATTCAGAATCTCTAGGTTGCATGGATTTGGAGATCAAACGATGGGGAAGTTGTATTCTTACTGGGATGGAGGAGGTGATCTGGACTAAGGCTACAACTCTTTTAATGGCCAGTGGACGTCTCACACGTGTGCCCATTAAATCTGTGCTTCCCATTTTGGTGGCTTTCTTCCAGGATTAACCTTCCTTTATTGGACCGCACAATCCCAGATTATTCCAGTTTCAACACCGTCGATGAATGGCTCGAGGCCATCAAGATGGGACAATATAAGGAAAGCTTTGCCAACAGTGGCTTCACCAACTTCGACACGGTGTCCCAGATGACCATGGAGTAAGTTGACAAACTGGATAGGAGAAAAGCCCTCGGTAGACCTCCTCCCTACCCTTGCTCATGGCAACTTCAAGATAGGTTTGTAGCAGCTATAAGAGCTGCTGGATCTTACCAGATGCTCCTTTAGAATGCTAGTAGAGAAGAACTTAGTGCCAGTGGTTTGCCTAAGAACACAGAGAACCTGAAACCACAAAGAGGACATCAAGAAGAGACCTGCATATTTAAATGCTATAAACCTTTCTCCTTGAGAAAATACCTTAAGATCTGCCATTGATTGCTCTAATTATGAAGATCAGCTATGCTTTCTTGCAGGGCTGTGGACAGGATTTGGCCAAATCCCAGATTTTAAGGCCAGTTCCAGGTTGGGGTGGTTCCAGGTTGGGTCAGATCAGCCTTATTCTAGATGTGGTCACCCTACCATTTTACCACGAAGGGGAAACGCCAGGGTGGTGTGATTGCAAAGATCGAGTAGAGCTGGGCTTTGCTAAGCAATAGGTCTGGAATGGACAAGATCTCACCAGCAATTTCCCATCCAGTCCAGTACTTTTAGGACGTTATTATATGAGGTTGCTGGATTGATTTCTGCATCTGAATGGAGGCTGATTATTTTGCTTGGGGGATAATGTGTCTGCATTTTCATCCAAACTTTACCCAACTTGTTGACTCCTATCTCCCAAATCATTATCTTAGAGTTGTGTGTGATGAGTACTGTGATAGGAATTAAGGACTGCATTTCTTATTTATCTTAAATCATTTAGTAGCCTTTCTTTCTTTCTTTCTTTCTTTCTTTCTTTCTTTCTTTCTTTCTTTCTTTCTTTCTTTCTTTCTTTCTTTCTTTCTTCCTTCCTTCCTTCCTTCCTTCCTTCCTTCCTTCCTTCCTTCCTTCCTTTCTTTCTTTCCAGTCAATTTTCCTCTGTGGTCCTTAATCCTTCACTTTTTAAGTAGATTCTTCCTTTGTTGATTGGATTAGATTTTCCTTTCCAATGATCCCTCTTTCCATCAGTCTGTTACTTCTTTTTTTAAAAAAAATCAGTTCTTCGTGATTGTCCCTTTGTGCGAACCTTTTACTCATCCGTTTTGCTAGTTTAGGTGTCTGAGTGTTACTTTGCTTTTCTGTCAGTCCTTCCCTGTGTGTGCTAGTTTAGCCTTTTAAATATGTTGCTTTAATTTAAATGAACCTGACCTCAGTTGTTCCCCCTTACATATGTGTGTGCTTTTCTTTGTAGAAGAGGATGTGCATTTCTGCATGCATTTATAGTCTGCCAGCAAACCATTTATGCAATTCATCTCTGTTGGCCAAAGAGTGGCGTGTGCATTAATTGCAAGAATAGAATTGATGTGCTGTAGAGTCTATTTTGATTTATCGCAACCCTCCCAGAGAGGAATGCCTCTCTTGCCCCAGTGGAATGCATAGGAAGCCCCACAGCGGCTGAAAATGATGCAGAGTGAACATCAGTTTAAACCGCAGTACGGCTTACAGTGGGGACGTGGTGGCACTGTGGGCTAAACCGCAGAAGCCTCTGTGCTGCAGGGTCAGAAGACCAGCAGTCGTAAGATCAAATCCACGCGACGGAGTGAGCTCCCATCGCTTTGTCCCAGCTCCCACCAACCTAGTGGTTCGAAAGCATGCAAATGCAAGTAGATAAATAGGGACCACCTCGGTGGGAAGGTAACAGCGTTCCGTGTCTACGTCGCACTGGCCATGTGACCACGGAAGATTGTCTTCGGACAAACGCTGGCTCTATGGCTTGGAAACGGGGATGAGCACCGCCCCCTAGACTCGAACACAACTGGACAAAAATTGTCAAGGGGAACCTTTACCTTTACCTTAGGGTTTACAGTATGTGAAGCAAAGAAAGTCACTTTGATTTCCACCTAGATTTTGGGGGGTGGGTGGTGGTTGACAGTGGCATAGCGGCATCCTAAATCTCTATTTATTGTTTGGAAAAATACCAGGGGGGGGGGGGTTGACAGTGGCATAGCAGCATCCTAGATGTCTATTTATTGTTTGGAAAAATACCGTTGTTGTTGTTTTTCCTGATGCTAAATGCTGCACGGAGCTCTCTGGCCTATATAAAAGGTGGATTGCTACTCTTGTAAGCTATCAGGGAATAGCCATTCCCCTTTTTGGACCCGGGATGTTCTGTGTTGCTTAAAGTGTGTAAGGATCTCCAGGCTGCAGAAACAAATCTCAGAAGCCATGCAAGGTCCGTGACAATCAGTTCCTTGCTAACCTTCCTTCACTCTCATGTGATTTCTGTTTGGTTTGGTTTTCTTGCCCCCCTCCAGGGACATCTTGAGAGTGGGAGTCACGTTAGCCGGGCACCAGAAGAAGATTTTGAACAGTATCCAGGTGATGCGGGCACAGATGAATCAGATCCAGTCGGTGGAGGTTTGAGAAACTGTACTGGCGCACGCCTCTCCCTTGAGGGCCCCCGTCCCCATTTTGTCCCCTGTGTTTCTGAGCACTTGACGGGCCCTTCGGGGTTCTCCTCCAGAGATGGCGGCCGCAGGGACGGGACGGGCCTCAGGGGGAACTTCGCTAAAGACTTTGAGAATCCCCCCCCCAAAAAAAAAGAGCAAAAACGAAACGGAAATGGTGATGATGACTTTTTAGAAGGATGAGTTGGGTTGTTTTATTTTCAAAAAAATAATAATAATGAAATGGAATAGCCGTTGGCTTCTTTCTGGTGGATTTGAGACGAACCAGCTGACGAAGCCAAGCGCTGGAGTAGTTTTCTCCCTCTCTTCCATGCTAGTCCCGTGGCCTTCCGGAGCACGAAGGGGACCAGAGGATGATGGTCGCGTGTCAACCTACGTCTCTCTGAACCTCGCAGGGCCGGCCTGCCTTCCTCATAAAACCCAGCTGCTCTATAAGACCTGACTGAAGAGAGGACGAGAGTCGGAAAACTTTTCCCATAGAATGGGTCGGTCCGTCGGTCGCCTCTTGAGAGCTACTGACTTCAGAGAAGACTGTGGCTTTTTTTAACACTTCCTTCTCTCTGAAGAACTAAGACGCTTTTTCTTTTTTTCCTATGGATGAGTAAGAACCTTTGGACCCCCACCCACCCACCCCCTTGGGAAAATAAAGGGGCTTACTGAGGTCTTGGCTTCTGGGACCGCTCGGAGCGTAGCCCTTCCCAGAAGCTCTGTGCCTGCCGTGGCAACTCCTACATATCACATGCACAAGACGTTCACAGGGCCTCACGGATTGCCACGGGCCCGTCCGTGGCAGGCGTACCCTCTCTCTCTCCCCTTGTGCCATGCAGTATGTTGTAGATTTGATGTGCATCTCCATTGGGTTGTTGTTGTTTCATCTTTTTCTACTTTGTTTACAACCGGTTGTTGGGGGGAAGGGAAGTGGATTCTTTGTGGGACGTAGCTTCTTCTCTTTTATTTTTTCCTTTTTACAAAAGCAGGATAACATTTTTCTCGGTTCTTGTCTCCCAGGGACGGTCTCCTTTCCACCCCCCCACCCAGGCAGCTTCCCGGCAGAGCACTTCCATGGGGTGCCGACATTGGTGCACAGCCCGATCTTTTTTTTTGGCTGGGCTGCTCCTCGGTCCTTCCCCTTATCCCTTCGCCTGATTCCACGAGCGGGAACTTTTAACTGTGAAATCTCTCCCCGAAAAGGAGCGTTGCCCTAAACTGGACATGGAGTGAGAAAGACGTCAGGGAGTAGAAGAACAGTATAATAAAGATTAGAAGGATGAACTTGCCTTTCGTAAGATCAGACAAGACGCAAAGTAGGTGTAGATGAACCTGCTGTCATCAGATATGGTCTCAGCTCTCATTTTGGTGTTCTAAGGAAACTGAAAGCAACAGCCTTGAAATCTAAGCTACAGAGGTCTGTAGACTTGTCGGTGTAAGGCCACACTAATGCTTTCACCCCTTACAAAACCACACAGAACACCATTTAAGTGCTTCTCAGCCCACTGGTTGTCCTTGGGTCTAAGACCTACTTTTCAGATTGAGCTTCAGGCGGACTGTTTGTTTTTCAGCCCAGCCCTGTCCTCTTTGATCTTCTGAAGGTCAAATGCATGACGAGCATTCTGGATGGCATGGAAGCCCACCATGTCACGCTCAAGGAGGAACACAGGGAAGGCTGTTCGGCCATTTGGCTTAGCTCAGGGTCTCCATTTCTATAGGTGAAGAGGATGACCATCAGTGTCAAGAACACTTTCGCAGACATTTTCACAAAGGTATCATTCAGACATAGAATAAACTGTGGATATTTCTTTGCAAATGATTGGCAGAGAGCCTCAGGCTTGTATGCTCTCCTCCTCCTTTTCTTTCATGCTGTAAGAAGACAGCTAGAAGCTTCTATTACATATTTTAAGGTAACAGCTATGCCCCACAGCTCATGGACCTGGGGTTTGTCTAAACTATGATTAGTAAAAACAAGCCATGATATAACATAGTGTCTGAACATGGCTTGGCTTGAAACCATAGTTTAAACAACAGCCATGGGGGGGATCTAGGTTTGAATACCATCAGCAATTGTGGTTTGTTTAAACTACAGCTAGTGAGACGACACCAGAATCAAAACACAGTTTCAGGATCCAGCTGGTCCGAAGTTCAAGCAAACCAGGGATCACTGTGTGTTGGGGATGCAGAGGTCCCCCTGTTGTTGGGGATGCAATCTGCTTGAAAGCTGAGCGCCTTGTTGACCAAGACAGAAGACAGGGGATGAGGTCAACAGAGTCCTGGACCTTGCCAAGGTTGAACAGAGACAGGAATTAGACTTCCCTGTGCCCTGCCTTAGCTAGTAAGGGGTGTTGGCCAAGGCGTATGCTACTTCCCAGTGTTTTTAGAAGAATTGCATTCTCTTGCCAACAGTACGGTGGGAGAGAAGAGGCTGAGATGTCAAGGAAGCTATTGAATCCCAGACAAGTGTTTAGGCAATGGGATTGCCTACAGTTTAGCCAACGTCCTCTTTGTATAGGAGGGAGGGTGTGTGCCACCCTTCCAGACTTTGTCCGTTCTTAGTGCCACTCCTTGCGTGTCCACTCCCAACACTCTGCTAGATTCGGAGCCATGTGTTGGTGCTCTGCTGCCTTCCCTCTGCTCGGAGGAGGCTTTGAGCGCATGGTCCTTTCCATGAGAAAGCTGTATTTCTCTTTGCACTAGCCTTTTCCTCACTCTGTTTCCCTGTTGCAAGGCCCTGTCAGTTCCATGGGCTGCCGGCGTCAGGGAAGAGAGGCCAGGGAAGCTGTCTTCACCAGCAGAAAGACAACACACACACAAACCACACACAAAGACATCTACCTGATCCATTCCACTGTGAAATAGAGTGTTATGCAGCTCATTATGTCTCTGGTTTCCCAAGAGAGGGTTGTTGTGGGGGACACACTTCTTTTCTCCCATTGGCCCGATTCGGATGTGAACAGCGGAGGTATTGCTAGTGGTCAGCCTCTTAGTACAATATTTTCATGACAACTAATGCTCCTCCTTGGACAGATTGTCTTGCCTTTCCCTGGAGGTCTTCGAGACTTCTCAAGTTGTGGTTTCAGAATTTTCCAGTGCAAGGGAGAAGAACGTCTTACATTATATGTACCACAGTAGCACTCCTCACAACCCATGCTCAGCCTATTTAGTTGCACATTTGACCTTTTCCAAGCTGAACCAGAAACTTCATTTCCCCGTTCTCTCCTAACCACTTTTGTCTCACTGTCTTCATGTCCCTTTAGCAGCCCCCGAGTGGAAACCGGCTCACCCATGTCCCACCAAACGTAGCAATAAAATGTCAGGCGGTTGATCTTGGCACTTCTGGACACTGTGAGGGTGGCCGGTGGAGGAGGGTGTTGCATGGAAATATACAGCTTGCTTGGGAGGGTGCAAATTTTTCGGAGGAGAAAACAAGCTTGAGGATGAAGAGGGAAAGCAGTGGATAAAAAATGGCTCCTAAATTTTCAGAAAGCTCAAATATTTCACTGTGATTTTTTTTTTTTGAAGCATAACTAAATCTTGGAGAATGGAACTTCCTCGGTTGAAAATCAATGCCTGTAAACCCCCCAAAATTAGTTGCATTTGTAATTTGGTCTTGTCTGTCACGTGTCTTTTCAAGCTTGTCTTCCATCAGAAATTTTTTTGGGGGGGGGTCACAGAAGATGAAATAGATTGTACTCTGTAAAGCTGCTACCCCCACTCTTGAACAGCAGACCCCTTGGGTTGCCCCAACCCCCACGTGGATCCAAAAGACAGATGCCTCGTTGCCCCCCAGGAGGAATTCAACAATTCTGTGTTGATGTCTCCTAGTTGTGTTTATGCTGATACAGTAAGTAAAGTCAGTTGAGGGCAAATCAAGGTGACCCACATAAGTTGCAATTTGAGACACAGGTGTGCAGCGGGACCAAAATCGTGTCGGGAGCCAGACACAGCCCATGTGATGGAAGCCAATTTTAGAATTGGGGGAAGCTCAGAATTCCAGGACTGATGGCTTAGAGAGTTAAAAACAACTGAAATATGGGTTCTGCTGCTTCTACCAGACTCATCACCAGCCGGAACTCCTGTCCTGTCCTTCCTTCCGGTCTTGCACTGGAATGATGAGCAATGAGATGGGTTTGACTATTTTTTGGATGTCCCTGAAGATGCCTGAGAGCATCCACACGGCTTGAAGGAGTTACTTGTCTGAATGGTTCCCAGCCGAATTCATTGAACGTAGGAGACCTTCCCCTCTGGGTCTTCAAGATAAGGTCAACGGCCAATGGCAGCCAACTCTCCCTGTCGTTTCCTCTCCCTCATGTAGCTGTTCTAGTAGCCAAGCAATTCAGCTTCGTGAATTGGCCTTCATCTTGCTTAGTTTAGGAATCCCCAACCAAGACATCTCAGTACAGCTATTGATTATGGATTGACATAAGAGAAGACACCCATTGCTACTCTTCCCACTTGTTCATATGAATCAGGTTGAATATTACCAGTAAATCACTCACCTTCTCTGCTGTTGGGCATGATTCGGGATGTAATTCTCTGTTGGGTCTCTGCCCAGCCTTCTAGTAGATAGAGAATAAATGCCATCAGTTACTATTGAGGGCACGGAGGTCCATTGAAGGAGCCGCCACATTCCTATGGTTAGTTGTCCAAATGGAAAGAGCAGGGTAGACTCCCTAAAAGAGGAGGGAAGATCGTTTATTGAGCTCCTCCTATATTTTAGATCTACAGCAAAGCTTGGGAACCTTTCATACCCTGCCAGAGTGGGTCTTCCACAACCTTGAGCCAGCACGCCTAACGTTGCAGGCGGCATCTGGAGAACCATAAGTTCCCCCAGGCCAGCTGTAAATGGGGGATCCCTTCTATTGAGAAGTGCTTAACAAGTGTGGTGGACTCCGTCCTCCAAGCAAGACCCTAAGGTCTCAACAGTGGTTTGGTTTTTCTTTCATGGGGACCAGCTTTGCAGAATCTGAGATTGGCCAGAAAACACACGAGTAGACCCAGGTTTCCATCACCTGGAAAACTGCTTTGTCTCTGCATCGCTTTCTCAACTCATGATTTCTGCCCTTACCAATAGGTTGTGTTTTCCTTCTTTGTGGATGGGCTGACCAGGAACTGTTGAAGAATTGAGAGGCAACCTAGTATTATTTCCAGATGTTTCTTTCCCTTCTGTTTAGACCACATCTGGCGCCCATTTCATCTGGAGTTTCAAGGGCAGCCTCTAGTTTTGGATTTCCATTCTGAACCAGAGGAGGATGATAACCATCCGTCTTTGGGAAGCTCCTTCCCTGTTCATAATTTGAAAATGTAGAGTTGACAGGAAAGGTACAGGGAAACATCCCATGGATTGGGAAGGGTCTGAATCAGATTTGAGCCACTGGAACATTCTTGGGGTTGAAGCCGACATCTCTCTGCTCTTTTCTGCCTCACTATTTTCACACGATGAGAGAGACGTCTATAGCCCAGTGGTTCCTAACCTTCGGTCCAAAGATGTTTTTGAACTACGGCTCCCAGAAATCCTGGCCAGCACAGGGAGTGGCAAAAGCTTCTGGGAGTTTTAGTCCAAGCACATCTGGCAACCAACCACTGCTGTACCCTGTTGCTGATTTCCATTGTATCCTGGCTTGCAAGAGAGGCAATTGACATGGATAATACTGGGCAGGATGAATCGGTAAAGTAGAACAGGATATTTTTTCCCCCAGAGATCGTTGTGAACAAACAGAAAGAAACTTTGTTTCTTAAGGATCCCTGACTAGCTGGATGAAGCTGCTTTGAAGCAACAGCTGGAGGGCCACCTCTCGCCCCATCACTGTTCTAAAAGGGGGCATTTTCTCTTAAGGGCATTAGCCCATAACTACTTCTGGTTGCCTACATAATACAGTGGTGCCTTGCCAGACAGTTACCCGGCATGACAGTTTTTTCACTAGACATTAACGTTTTGCGATCGCTACAGCAATTTGCAAAACAATGATTCCTATGGGGGAATTTCGCTGGACAATGTTTGGTCCCTGCTTCGCAAACCAATTTTCGCTAGACAACAATTTTCACAATTCCATGCTCACAAAACAGGTGTTTTCGGGACCTAAGCTTCGCAAGACAGCGATTTAAACAGCTGATTGGTTTGCAAAGCGGCTTTCCTATGGCCGATCTTCGCTAGACAACGATGATTCTTCCCTATTGGAATGCATTAAACAGGTTTCAATGCAGTCCAATGGGGAAATGCTTTTTGCTAGAAGATGATTTCGCTAAACAGCGATTTCAGTGGAAAGGATTGTCATCGTCTGGTGAGTCACCACTGTATAGGGCATCCATCCAAGGTGTGATTCCCTGATTGGATAGGATCAAGCGGGGAGCAATGGAACAAACAAAAAAAATGCCATCAGCTTGAAAGAATAGCAACTGCAGGGAACGGAATGCACACCAGAGCCAAGAGAAGATTAAGGGCTTCTTTTTTAAAAGATTCCCACCCTCCCGACTCTAATTTGAAGAAGAATATGGAGCCTGTACGATGTGCAGATCAGCATTCATGGCCAAGTTTGGGGTTGTTGGGTTTGTTTGTTTTTTGTCCTACCCTCTCACACTTCACAGCTGTGGCTCAGAACAATGGGCAACCTCTCCTTTGCTTATCCATTCTCTCTCCACAGAACAGTGACCCAGTTCTTTGGCAGCCTGTGCCTGAGGGTGACTGCTTTGTCTCTGGCCGCCCACAGGTTGTGGCCTTGTGTGGAACACTGCTCTTTCCCCCTGACAGATTTTTTTTTCTTTCTGTATTTTTAGAAAATGTGAATCGGTCGGCAGCCTGCCAGCCCTTGTCACATGGAGTGTGTGTCTTCCATTCCAACCAAGACCTTCTCCTGGTTCCGTCAGGCATCTTTTGATGTTACCGGGGAGGGGGTTAAAAAATAAAATAAAATAAACC